AAAGAAAGAAAGAAAGAAAGAAAGAAAGAAAGAAAGAAAGAAAGAAAGAAAGAAAGAAAGAAAGAAAGAAAGAAAAAAATCCGGAAAAAAAAATAAAAGAAAAAGAATTTTCGCTCTCTTGAAAAAAAAAAAAAAGTTAGGCTGTATTAGTGTCTTTAGGACACCACAGTCACTGGACGTGACAGGAGGTTTTAAAAATAGCGAAGGAAGAGCTTCGCCGGGCAAAAAGCACGCTGGGCCTGCAAAGGTCGTAAGCTGGACCCCGGAGCGAGGCTGTACGGCTTTGGGGGTGCGCCCCGGCCCGAACTCAATGTGTGCAGTTTCACGGGAGCGACCAGGTTGACCTCAAAGGGCCATGAAGCGATCCCCCCCTGAGCCTGGCTTCCTGTGTACCCAGAACAGCACAGAACGTCAAAGGTCCTGCAGCGCGTGCAAGGGCGCGTGGGAGAAGGCGGGTGTCAGAGCGAGTCCGTGCGTGGACCGCGGGGCGGTGGGGGTGCAGGGTTGTGACCGGCCAGCGTCGGCTGCGCGTGCCCAGGGGTGCGTAGACCGTTCCGATCCGTCCGGGAGCCCCCTCAGCTCCTTCCCGCCGGGATGACCCTCCTGAAGAGGCCTGGAGCAATCCCCAGCCCCCATCTCCTGGTCCTGTCTGGCTCTCGAAGTCATAGTTGCTGCTCTGGGTGTCAATCCCGTTTCTCTACTACGTCCCCACTCCTGCTCCCGAGCCTATCCTCGGAGGGAGGAGGCTTCTCCCAATTCCAATTCCTACCCTCTCCCCCAATCCCACACACACCCCTGCCCCTGCGCCTCGCCGACCTTGTCAGTCCCCGCGCTTTGCTCAGCGGGGACGCACTATGCTAAGGACACGCGGTGCCAGCGCGCCACCTCGTGGTCGCTCCTGGGTCTGCAGCCCGTCTAAGTCCCGCCGAGGAACCGGACGGCACAGAGAAAAGGGTCCTATTCTGCGTAGGGTGTGGAGGGGGCTCTGGGCCAGTTTCCAATACTAGACCCCGCCACGGGCTGCCGAGCCTAGAAAAACTTAGGCTTCCAGGGCCGGAAGACCTAGGTCGGGGCGTAGGGACAGGAGCAGGAGCAGGTGACCACCTGGCCTGGGCCGCCCCGGGAGGCCGCCGCGTGAGAAAGGTGGGGGCGGGGGCGGGCGAGGGCAACGCTATCTGTCTGTCTATCTGAGCGTCCCCCCAGCTCCTATCGCCCGCCGCTGCGAGCTCGTGGCGGGGCGAGTTGCCACCCGCTCTGGAGGCCCTCTGTTCTTCTGCCAAGAGGGCGCCCAAGGAGCCCAGGGCGTTGGGGGCAGGAAGGGCACTGGGCCGGTTCCCCTCCCAGGATGCAAGCGGGGGCGGCGGGCAGGGCCTCCTGCTTGGGAGCCCCCAGCTGCCCACAGGGAAGGGACAGCGTCGGGCAAACCCTGTCTCAGGGGTTCGTTCATTCATTCATCTGGGGTGACGGGTGATTCCAAGACGCCCCCAGTCTCTCCTGGGCCTGGAGCCTTGGGCTTGTAAGTTATTTTAGGGTAATTTCTAAGGTCTGGTGTGCTCTGGAAAGAATCTGAAGTCACATCAGCCGCAGCAAGAAGCATTTAAGGTTGGGCGTGGCTTTAGCCTTTAAATCCCAGGACTCAGGAGGCAGAGGCAAGTGGGCTTCTGTGAGTTCAAGGCCAGCCTGGGGTACACAGTGAGTTCCAGGATAGACAGGGCTATACAGAGAAACCCTGTCAGGACGAGGAGGAGGAAGGAAGGGAGAAAGGAAAGAAGAAGGAGGAGGAGAAGGCGCATTATTGAAGTAACTGCTTGGTGATGTGCGAGCACCTTGTCCTCTATAATTGCACAGTAAGCTGGGGACTGCTAACCCATTCACCACTATCGTTCAAATACCCAAGATAGTCTTTGAGAAATGTCTGAGTGACTAAATAATAGACGCTGAATCTCCCTGGTACTTTTCTAATAAAGGCCAGGCCGAGACGGAGGCATGCTTGATGGAAGGCCTGAAGCAGGCACAGGACTCATTCTCGATGGAAATAAGTCCTGAGTTGTCCCTGAGGGGTCCCTAAGGCCAGCGGGAAGGGAGCCACCAGCAGCTGGGTGATAGCTGGGTGGAGAGATGATGCAGAAGATGCAGTAGGACCGGTGTCACCCACTGGACCTCATCTGGTCCAGCAAGATGAGCAAGTGTCAGCTAGCCAGGGCCCTGCTCCTGGAGGAGGCCTGAAGTGAAGCAGCCGGCCACAGCTGACGGGCCTCTGGGAGGGGAGTAGGAGAAGAGGGGTGCTGGTTGGTGTCCAAGTTAAGGTCTGACAGGAGAAGGTGCCTGCTGACGGAGCTCTTTCTTCGAGACCGGGTATCAGGCAGATTTGGCACAACCAGCACTTTTCCCAGAGAGCCCCAGAGGGGTGGGACTAGGGAAAAGGATGGAGTCAAAAGGTGTGGCGGCAGGCTTCTTCCTTGCCTGGGGACCTGGCGCCATCTAGTGGTCGTAATAAGAAGGTCATGTCTGAATCCTCAGGAGGGGCCCTGCAGGGACAGGGCAGCAGTTCCCCTAACTCCGACTTGGGTTACTTTTTGCTTTCCAGCTCCTTCTCTGTCCACCCATCTTTGTTTGGCCAGTGTCTCCCTCTTTGGGTTTCTTACATGTATCTTTCCAGGGTCTCATCCAAACACTGTCTTCGTAGCGCCTCTACTCTGTATCCATTGTCTTGGGTGCTGATGAGCTGACCTTCAAGGCAGACACGATAATCCTCTTCATGGGGCCCGACTTCCATTCCGGGAAGTAGGCGCTTTGGGTAGCAGTTTCACTATGGTGTGGAGGGTGACCGGAGTGGGGGTTGTAGGTGCCGCCGTGCTAGAGAGATCAAACCCTCCGTAGGTGGGAGGGCACCTGAAGCTAGACCTGGAGGAGGTGTGGGAGTTGGTCTATTAAAAACAAGGATAATGGTGAAGAGTGCTGGAAGAGGAACAGTACAGGGTGTCAGTGATGGGAAGGCCCTAAAAGTGGGTGGAGCCAGGAACTCAGAACTCAGTCCTGGAAGTGAAATAAAGGCCATGTACTATATTCCTAGGCTGCAGAGAACCATTACAAAGTTTTAACCAGGGGCCTGGAGAGATGGCTCAGCGGTAAACAGCACTTGACTGCTCTTCCAGAGGTCCCAAGTTCAACTCCCAGAAACCACACGGTGGTGGCTCACAACCCATCTGTAATGGGATCTGGTTCCTTCTGGTGTGCATGAAGACAAAGGACTTATATACATTTAAAAAAAAAAAAAAAAAGCCAGCTGGGTGTAGTGGCACACACCTTTAATCCCAGAGCTCAGGGAGGCAGAGGCAATCAATCGCTGTGAGTTTGAGGCCAGCCTGGTTTACAAATCAAGTCCAGGACTGCCAAGGCTACACACACACAGTAACCCTGTCTTGGAAAAAAAAAAAAAAAGCCAGGTGGTAGTGGAACACACTTTTAATCCCAGCACTCGGGAGGCAGAGGCAGGTGGATCTCTTCCAGGACAGCCAGGGCTACACAGAGTAACCCTGTTTCGAAGAAGAAGAAGAAGAAGAAGAAGAAGAAGAAGAAGAAGAAGAAGAAGAAGAAGAAGAAGAAGAAGAA